TTAGTGCACGACAGACCGCTTTAACCAATGCTGTAAATATCCAAGCCAAAGTGAGGCCTTTTAGAAATGAATGTCCAAATAACTCAGATGGAAGAGATGGGGAAAAAATGAATGTCATCCAAAAAAGGATCATATTTGATTATTGCAGCAGCATGTGGGGGATACATCAAATCATTCATTAAACTGTAATTAGCTGATAATCTGCCTGCATGACTGTACGTTTTATGAAGCACTGTACACTAATAAAGATTCATTCAGATGTTGCCAAAGGAAAGTTGTGAGGGGGACTGTCTGTGGGTGGGGCTGCCGAAAAACGATCAGCCAATCAGAGGAAAACTTCCTGCAGCGACTTGTCTCTGCCACGTAGAGGAACAGCTGCACGTTTTCATGCTGCAGCAAGAAACTTTTTAGCTCTTTATTCAACAGGCTGTTTCTTCTGAAAGCTGACTGTGTCAGCATGCTGCTGGTTGTGCTGAGCTGGCTCTGCTCCTTCATGCTGGTGTCCGTCAGCAGCGGGGGGAAGCTGCCCGAAGCTGAAGTGACGATAGAAGTTCTGCACAGACCTTTCCTCTGTCACCGAAAGTCCAAGTATGGAGACATTCTGCTGGTGCATCATGAAGGATACTTTGAGAATGGCACCATGTTTTTCTCCAGGTTTGTTTCATGGCTAACGCGAGGCTTATAACGCTCAAATATGATGATGCAACTCTGTCAAGGAAGCAATGAAGGAGCTGGCTGTCGGAGAGATGCAGTGATGTCACCCTGGTTTCATAACAGCTTTTATAGATTTAAAAGATGGCAGATGTGGCTACAACTGTAGCTGCCTCCACCAGTGTGTGAATGGGTGGATGACTGGGTGTGTAAAGCGCTTTGGGGTCCCTAGGGGGGACTAGTAAAAGCGCTATACAAATACAGGCCATTTACCATTTACCAAAACTCTCGAATGTCGATGTTAGCATTTATCTGCAAGGGATACAAAGTTAAATGTTATGTCAAACATGAGGCCCGTGGGCCAAAATAGGCCGGGCAAAGACTCCAATCTGGTCCACTGAACACATAGCTGTAAAACTTTTAACTACTATCAAAGACTTCTCCCAGGGCCATTCATACCACACCAAAGTTATTAAGAAATAGATAGCCAAATTATATGACAGAAAATTTTCAGTCTTTTCACTAAAATGACTTTATTTTTTAAAAAAAAAAATTACATGGTAAGCTACTAGCAACTAGAACTTTTTTCTGTAATTTCACAGCCAAAGAGTCATGCTGACTGATTTCTTCCAAGAACTACAGCAGAATTTCCTTATCATGTAGAAAATTGTAATTGTAAAAATTGCTTCTTTTCCTTATACTAAGACATGTGAACGTTTCAATGTGTAGTTTAACTTCTTTACACAGACAGAAAGGGGAGTTTCACTGGTGGGCTGGACCAGTGAAGTGGCCTGTATGTGGCCCACGATGTAAAATGAGTTTGACGTCCCTGCTTTAGTGCAAGAGTGTCAAACATTAGGTCCGTGGCCAAAAATGGGCCCAGCCAAGACTCCAGTGTGGGCTTTGGAAAATGTGATTGGGATCAATTTTGGACTTTTAACTGTATTTTAAGTTTTAGAGTAAAGACCTCCCCCATGGACAGTCGTATTACACCAAATTAACAATTTAACAATTAAATAACAGAAACTTTCCTGTTTTTTTTTTCATTTTCAGTAGAAAATTAACAAGTTTTAATAATATTAATGTAAAGTAGATTTTCTGTGAACTAACAAATTCTTCTGTTTTATAATTACAGGACTGTCTGGGCAATGAGCTAGCAGAACATTTTTGTACACATTTCTTTCTTACAATTAATGCCCAAAGAGTCGTGGCAACAGATGTTTTTCATTTACTAGAGAAATATTTCTCTGTTGTGCAGAAAAACTGAGAACCTGCGTACTGTTACACTTCTTTTTCTAATACTAAGACATCTCAGGTATTAAGTCTGTTAAGATCGAAGTGGACATTTTCCATCTCTGCCCTAGCTTACATAGCAGCCAGCTTAGGTATTTTGAATTTAGGTTTTAAACTGCATCACTCTGATACATTTAGGGCTCTATATACTCTGTAATAATCCTTATTGACACAGCTTATAATCCTTATGATATGTTTTAGTGCACCTCTCGTGCATCCAATGATTACAACAAGCAGCTTTAGTCTTCAGATTGGCTGGACCTCACAAATGTAAGGTTTTGACACTGGGTGGGTGGAAAAATAATATCCCTCTTCTTGAATTAATGAAAAATACTTTATTTATCCCATAAATAATAACATCAACTGCCAGATGACTCTCTGCCAGACAGATATTTTTTATGATGCAATAATACAGCTATCTTCTCTTGCTTTAGACTCAGGTGGTAAAAGTGACTCAGGAACACAGACACAAGGCTAACACAGGTCTTCAGAACCTCGCACTGATGCCATCAGGGTCTGCATCCTTGCTGTAGCGTGTAGTTTCTCCAGCTGTCTTCTAACCAGGCCAGAAGACAGACAGACAGACAAGCAGGGGTGGTTCCTCAGATGTGGGGTGGATGTGGTTTTAATGAAGAATAAGTGGAGAAGGGCAAAATCATTGAAGGTGATGACTGAAAGATAGTGTTCACGGGATTTGATATCTTCTGAGATGGAGCTTGTCGATTTGTTAATGTTCTCTCAGTGGGGTTGGCTAGGTCCACAGTCTTTGAAATCACATAGAGCCTGCAGTACAAAAAATGTCTAATTGGAGCATTCATATCAGCAGGAATCATTATAACTCTGAGAAAAGCATCATAATTTCCTTGACCTTTGATGACACCTCAGAGACCTTCTCTACATCTCAACTTTTCACTCTTTCTACACCTGTGTTTGTTGACCAGTCGAGTCAGCGGTGACAAGCAGCCAATCTGGTTCACTCTGGGCATCAGAGAAGCAATCAAAGGCTGGGATAAAGGCCTGCAAAACATGTGCTCAGGAGAGAAGAGAAAACTGGTCATACCTCCAGAACTGGCATATGGGAAGGAAGGAAAAGGTACAGAAGCTTCATCCATATCTAAGAAGTTTCACTGCATGTTTTATTGTGAGTGAAACTTCTACACGGTCTTCTTGGTGTCTCCAATTCTCACAGTGTGACATTATTATGCACGCATCTTATTATACTTGTCTTTCTTGTTCTTTTTAATTGCTTTCTAGGAATGAATTCATTCAATGTCACTGAATGAAGGTTTCATTCAGTGACATTAGTCCACTTTTTCTCTACGTGGAGCATGTGAACAATACTGTGCTTTTTTTTGTCCCGTAAGCACAAACCACTCTAACCCGTAACATCTGTCTCTTCTGTTTCTAACTAACCTTTCTAATGCCAACAGATTCACAGCAATAGATTTGCTTTTTATTCCTTTTTACCATCTGTGTTCTTCAACGGAAGAAAACTTCCTGGATGCTTACTGGACGTTTTGGCAATATTCAATTTCAGTTTGAACTGACATCTCTGCCCATTACCCTCCTGTTCTCTGTATTAAGGTAAGATTCCACCTGAAAGCACGCTTACCTTTATCATCGAGGTGCTACAGATCAGAAATGGACCTAGGTCACATGAATCCTTTCAGGAAATGGACCTCAACGATGACTGGAAGCTCTCCAAGCATGAGGTGAAGATAACCATTGAAAACACTGTATGAAGTTACATGGATCGGTTACATATCGCATGTCACTCTAGACTTTACTTTCTGTACAAAGAGGAAAAAAGTGTCATTTCTAATTTATTTTATTATGTTTGTACTTAAGTCCCAGTCATCCTGTTCTTTTCATGTCTGCCAGGTGAAAGAGTATCTAAGGAAGGAGTTTGAGCGTCACGGCTACCCTCCCAACGACACTCTACACGAGAACATGGCGGAGGATATCTTTGCCAAAGAGGATGAGAACAAGGACGGTTTTATATCCTCTAGAGAGTTCACTTACAAACACGATGAACTGTGAAGTCCCATGAAGCGCTCGTTTGTGTTTCGTGGTGGAAATCCTTGTCAGAGACTCTTTGAGGTTATTTTTGTCTGTTTCAGTTTTACAGAAGCTTTAAGTCTGTGTTGCGTGACGCTGTGTGTGGTTAAGTTTTGTTGCAGATTGTTTTTTTAATTTTGTGATTTGTTTATGAAAATCCTTTTTGGGACCACTATTAGCTAGATTTTCACAAGTCAAAATATCTGTGTGAAAACTGTCGTGAAATATCAGGTTAATTTTTTTTCCTCTTTTTTATAAATATAAATACATTTTGGGCAAACTTGGGAAGACTGAATTAATGTTGTGACACAATGAGGAATAACTCAAAACCACGCAGGAGAACTTTACCTGTTGTTTTAATGGGGATTTTGAGATGACACACACATGTTTACAGCCCTGTTTGTGCAGCTTTGGGATTGTTTGAATGGATCAAGAGGCTTAACTCAAAAAAGGACCACTGTTTAAGGCAGATACATTTATTAGTTGTTGTTTTTTTAAGTAAAGTATCTGTGTAAACTTTTTAGTTGCTTTGGTTTATTTGTTGGTGACAGATCAAACCAACAGGTGGCGCTGTCCTCCCATGTGTTAGTGTTGGTTAATACATGAGGGGCAAGAAAATGGTACACCTGGTTACCCAATTGCCGCCACCAAGGCAAGAGCTGAGACTGAGGTATGTTTGCTTGTCTTTAGCAACGTAGTCATAGCTACTGTAGTCACAAAAACTGCCTGCTTGAATGCAAATTTTACAACTACAAGTGCACAGAGATGATGCTTAACATATTACAAACTATGTCAAGAGTCGTGTTAGCGATAATTAATGGAAGACCCTGTTCTTCTAGCCTGTGTGTGTAGAGTCTGAATGGAGCTTATGAGCACAAGCAGGGCGAGTGCTTCTCCTCTCACGCACACAAAACATTCTGTACTTGAAAAGGTCAGAGGTCACATAGTCAGAATAAGACGGGTCCTTGTTTTGATGCTTTGAAAATGCACAACCACACACACACGCACACACACAAATGCACCAAATACAACAACACACACACACAAAGCCTCTATCCATGCAAGTCCATGGCAGTAATGTCAGTTTAACTGTGAGGACTCGTAAGAAGGAGAAGGTATACTGAGATTTGTCCTTTTTTTGTTGCGTGTCACAGTGCTGAGATCATGACTCATCGAAGGTGTGTCCTGATCCCTGGTGGTTTGGGGTTTACTGTAAAAGAACAAGGAGGAAGAAAAACAGAGCTCAGCAGATGAGACTACAGTGCTGAGAAAAGAAAAGCTGAGGAGTAGTAACTTTAGTAGTAGCTACCACTGTTTTCTTTGCTGGGGTAGATCCGTGGGAAAGGCTTGAATTCATCGGGTGGGGGTAAGTCTTCTACAGGGTGGAACTGGAACTTTGATTCAAAGTCATCCGCTGGAGTAAAGAAGATGCAGATTAGAAGTTTCTACCCTTTTTAAAAAAAAAAATGTCCTTCTGCTGAGCAGCAAAAACGAACTTTCAAAGTTTACATAAAAGTTATACATTTGAACAGTAAAAATGCTTTTAAAATCTTACCTAAGCTCTGAAGATGTCCATTCCTGAGACTGGATGGGGGCATGGGAGGAGGTGGAGGAGGAGGAATGCGGGTGGACAACTCTGTGGTGGGGGAACGGGCGGGGGGAGCAGGAGGAGGAGCCAGTCGACCCACACCTGTTAATAAGTGGGCATCAGAAGAAAAACAACATTTAAAATAGAAACAAAAAAATATACATTTTATGGAATTGTAATTCAGCCTGGATGACCTCTGATTTCCTGCTTCTAAATATAGAAACTAAGGTTATTGTACTTTGCCGTATAAATCTTAGAAATATAATATTGAACCAGATGCTTACTCTGAATGGCATCATCTTGGCCTCCAGTAACACTGTGAGGAATCTTGGATTTGTTTTTGACCAGGATATGACCTTCATTGCGCGTATTAAACAAATATGTAGGACTGCTTAGTTCCATTTATGAAATATCTCTAAAATTAAAAATATCCTGTCTCAGAGTGACGCTGAAAAACTAGTTAATGCATTTAAAACTTCTAGGCTGGACTACTGTAATTCATTATTATCAGGCTGTCCTAAAACTCCCTGAAAAGCCTCCAGCTGAACAAGAGTATTGAAAGCAACAAGAAAGTGAGAGTATATTTCTCCTATACTGGTTTCGCTTCACTGGCTCTCCTGTTACATCCAGAGTCAGATTTAAAATCATTCTCCTCACATACAAGGTCTCGAATAATCAGGCCCCATCATATCTTAAATCTCGTCTGAAGACTCACCCTTTCGGTTTGGCTTTTAAACCCAGTATAAAATGGTAATTTCATTTGGATTTTATTGCCTTTTTATGTTGTTTTTTTATATTGTTACTGTTATTTCAACTTGTATTTTATTTTTAGCATTTATGTTTTTATTGTTTTAGTTCACGTTCAGCACTTTGGTCAGTGCTCACTGTTTTTAAAGCGCTTTTTAAATAAAGTTGGCTTGGCTTAAAGACCTCATAATACCGTATCACCCCAACAGAGCACTTCACTCTCAGACTGCGGGCTTACTTGTGGTTTGTTTGGTATTTAAAAGTCGAATGGGAGCGGAAGAGCCTTCAGCTTTCAGACCCTTCGTCTGTGAAACCAGCTTTCAGTTTGGATTCAGGAGACAGACACCCTCTCTACTTTTAAGATTAGGCTTAAATTTTCCTTTTTGATAAAGCTTTTAGGGCTGGATCAGCAGTCCTAACACCTGTTTTTTTTTTTCCACTCACAATGTGTTTATACACCCCTCTGCATTTAATCATTAGTTATCATTAATCTCTGGCTCCCACAGCATGTCTTTGTAACGTCCTCCTCCCCTCACTCCCAACTACTCACGGCAGATGGCTGTCCCTCCCTGAGCCTGGTTTTGCCAGAGGTTTCTTCCTTTTGAAAGTGAGTTTTTCCTTCTCACTGTTGCCAGTTGTTCATAAGGGCTCATCTAATTATTGAGGTTTTCTCTGTTTTTTCTGTATTATTGTATTGCTCTTTACCTTACATTGTAAAATGCCTGAAGGGAACTGTTGTTGGGATTTGGCGCTATATAAATAAAACTGAATTGAACTGAATTAAATTGCTTTTGAGAAGCTTTGAGGCTGGCCTGTAGACACCAGAGAGGAATAGAGAAAACACTGTGGAAGGATAGACTTCAGAACCTAATCAGCACACCAGCTGTGATATACACTCATTTTTCTGCACAAAGATAAACCGGGTCTCACCAATTTTCCTATTTTCATTTTATGCTGGTTAACTGCCTATGAATACTTAAACAGACGTGGCATGCTTTAGGTTGGTTTTTTACAAGATAAAAAACATCTTAAAGTATAACATTGTGTAACAGAGCTTCTTCAGCTAGTAAATATCAACTTTCTACTCTACACTGTGGCATCTATGTATGGGATCAATCATATAAATGTTCTCAAAAAGGCTAATAATACTATAATAGATCTATCTCACCCTGTTAGAACTGTTACCATCAGGTAGACAGTACTGAACAAGTAAAACAAGCAGAAACAGACTGAATAACAGCTTTTATTCCAGTTCTAGACAGGCATTAGATGCTGCAATGGCCACATGTGTTTTGTGCAAGAAGGGGTTGTGAGAATGGAGGAAGGCTGCTTTTGACTTTTGTATTTACTTTTATCTCTTATACAGTTTTATGTAGTTTTTATGATGCGAGTGATCTTTGCACTGTTGAGATTGAGGCTAATTATGCTGTACTTGTTGTATGTAATAGTGGCAATAAAGATATTCTAATCTACATGGATAGATTTAAACCTGCCTTCTTTCTTATGGCAAAAAGAGCTTGACTCCTCTGGTACAAAAAGATACCAGATTCTATTGAACTTTGACCCTTTCCAAAAAATGACACCACTACTTACCTGATTTATCTCAGGAGACACTTCCTAATGAGTTAATTACCTTAACCATTATGTAATCCACATTTAGAGTAAAGTATGGCTAGGTATGATTTAGGATAAGATATTGTCCCTTGGTCTCTCAGTCAGGTCCTCCACCTCAAACATCATGTCCAGTTTTAAAAAACAGATAGCAATGGTGAAACTGCTCTTGAAGCTTGGGGCTTCACAACAACCCTTCGCTAACCAGTCGGTGAGGTCACAGTAGCTACTTTCATCTTTTACAACAATTATTGGGAACTTTTTTAGGCCACGCCCTTAGCTGAACTTGTTTTCTGATCTCTAAAACATTGCTTCAGCGCAATGGTTTTCTTTCAGATTTTTTTTAAATTTTCCTTCTTTTTATATCATCACCATTAATATATCGAGTCAGCTCCATTTACATGACTGAATCATTTCTCGCACAAAGACAGAATTCAAAAGATTTTCCAAAGGCATGGAGCAGTGGTTTAAACTTTTTATCTTCCATACAGACTTTATCTGTTTCAATTATGGAAAAAACGTGTAACAGGCAACAGGTTTATATTTATAAACACAAGTGGCATTAAAGAAGCATTTTTACATCCTGTTGTCCACCTACCTGCACTCCTGGGTATAGCTGGTGGCCGTCGAGTGGGAGCGTTGCAAGGGTATGAGGGAGGCAGAGAGCGCATTGCTGAAGAAGGCACTGGAGCCACTTTGGGTGGTGGTGGAGGTAGGGTAGACGGGCAGCTTGGAGTAATGGAAGGTGGCAGAGGGGGAGGCGGAGGTGGGGGAGGCGGTCCCAGGGGGCTGTCCCGAAGAACAGGGAACCTTGAAGTTTCAGAGTAGACTGCAGATGAAGGCGGAGAGTAGAAGTACCCCGAAGAATGGTCCCCTGGGACAGCTGACAGAGGCTGGACAGTTGGTGGCGGTGGTGGAGGAGGAGGACCAGGAGGAGGAGAGGGCTGGGAGACAGATGAGTGTTGAGAGTGCTGGATGGGGAGCCACATGGGCTTGGTAGTCTGGGATGGAGGCGGAGGTGGAGGGCAGGAGGGGAGAGGGGGAGGCTTGTTACCTGGCCGGTCCTGGAAGGCTTGAGGCGGGGGAGGTGGGGGAGGAGCAGAGGGAGGGGCAGGTGGAAGGGGAGTGGAAGGAGGGAAAGGCGGCGGGTGCATGCTGCTGTGAGAGGGGGAGGGAGGAGCAGAGGCCGAGGGGGCGAGTAGGCGGTGGATGGAGTTTTGGATCTCTGCTTTCCTGTCGGGTTCAGCGAAGCTGCTGGAGTCGGCCGATGAAGGAGGGTTCCACAGAGGCTTCAGAGAGACTGATGAGCTCGATCGAGACACTTAAACAGAACAAACACACACAAGAGGAGCCATTTGAAATGGAAAAAATGTTATTGTGACTACGGACAAATCATAAATATATCTATGCGCAAGAATATGACATTTTGCACCAACCTCTGGTTTTGCCTGCTAGGTCTCTTTGTCCTGTAGGCCTGAGAGTGGGGAACCCTCCAGCAAATAGCCCACTCAATGATGGCCCCACGGGTGCCATGCCACCCGATGAGGCCTGAGAAGCGCCAGCATTTCCAGATAAATCTCCTGTGCTAGCCTTGGAATCTGGGGAACGCCATATGCACGTGTTAGTAATGAAATAACAGCAGTGCAAAGGCATCAAAGCTTAATAAATCATGTGGTCAATCACAATATTTGGTCAAATATCATTATAAATGTATTCACTTCATACATAACATTGTATATCTTATAAGCTCATGAGTTTTGTCCCAACAAGAGCTTGTTTTCAGTGCTGGAAAAAAAATAATGAAGCTAACATCAAAAACTCAAACATGTGCAACTTTCACACCACCACACTTAACTAACCTCCCAATATTATTAGCCCCCTGAGAAAATGACCTCTTTATTGAACCATAGCGCAAACCACTGCTGTGCAATGATGTGCTTTAACTTTGTAA